GAGGGAGATGATGATGAGGAGGAGGGGGATGAGGATGATGATGAGGGTGAGGAGGATGAGGAGGAGGAGGGGGAGAAGGAGGAGGAGGAGGCGGAGGACGACGACGACGAGGAGGAGTACGCAGCTGTGGGGCAATATGAGTGCCAGCATCCCAACCTCTCTGCACAGCGTAGGGTGTATGACGCACTCGTGCTGGTACCAAATTAATGAGACCCTTACATCCGACGATCCCAAGCGGGAGGGAGGAGGGAGGCGACACGAGGAGGGAACGGGCCAAAACTACGCGCGCATGCGCAATCTCCGCTGCCCGCGCCGAAACGCTACTCGTTACCAGGCGCACGCGGCTGCGCAGCCTACAGCTCCAACGATGCAGGCACAGTGCGCGCGCGTCAGTGCTGAACACGCATGCTCACTCATCGCAATAAGGGGAGGCCTCGAGGTTCACTATCTCGCCATCGTCGTTATCGATAACGAGGTGTCCGAATTCGAGGCAGCAACCAAGCGGCAACGGCGCCCACGGCTGAGAATCCATCAACTCTTCAACGCACCGATCTACGCGCTGATCTCCTCCTCGAGGTAACCGCTGGATGCCGCTCCCGTCGTCACTCTCGCGCCTGGGCTGGCGAAGACGTGCATCGAGATGTACTCGCGGTGCGGGATGTCCAGGGAGAACACAATCTTCACCTGGTCCTCGCTCTTGCACGTCTCGAGCTCGCAGATCCGTACGTATAGTGGAGGGTCGGCCTCCATCTCTGCTGCCCAGGCCTCCACCTTTTCGCGATTATGCTTGCCAACTTCCTGGGCGGCCAAGGACTCGACCATCGCTGCGTACACTGCGGGGTAAGGAGGGCCCAGTCCGAGTAGCTCGTCCGAGATGTCGTTTGCCTCCTTGTTGGCCCGCTCCTCTGCTGCTTTGTCGGTCCCCTTTGCTGCCTTGGCCTGGTCCTTGAGCTTGCTCACCTGCGCCCGTAGGTCGGCTGTCGAGCCGCGAACAGATGGCTCTCCTCCTGGATAGCTCCCACTGCTGCGTGCGAGGTCTCGATCAGAACCGTTTGAGCGACCGCTCCCCGCATCGCCCTCGACTTCTGAGTGAGTTGGGCCACCAACATCGATAGCAGCAACAGCAGCTCCTTGAGACCCGCGTCCTTCGTGTTAGGCTTGCGCTCCTTCGCCTCGGCTCGGCGGCGCCCTCCTCTGCGAACTCGCGGTTTGCCCCCCGTCCCCTCCTTGGAGGCGCCCCTGTGGATGCCCCCCCCTGCTCGGCATTCTGCTTCTTCCGCTCTTCATCTATGGAAGCAATCCCACCATTCGCTGACGGAGCCGATGAAGCCGCAGAGGGGCGCCACGCCCGCATCGCTGGCCCCCGCAGGAACACGTGTCGCCACCAGCAGGCCTTGAGCAGTTCGAAGATCACTTCCTCGGAATCGGGGCGCAGCTCGCTGCGAGGTGGCCCTCGGCGGAGGCTTGGGCCGCGGGGGGGGGGCGGCTGAATAGGTGCAGGACTCGGTTCAGCAACTGATATGGATCCACCCTCCTGCGTCGGCGGCAGGTGAGAGCATAGATGACTACGGAGGTTCTCGTACGTAGGGTACTCCATGCCGCACAATGCACAGGTACATGAAATCGGGGTGATGGATGAACTTGTATGGGCACGCCGTGTTGTCGTATGCGTCATCCTGCGTGCCATGATCGGGCTAAAGGTCGTACTGCTTCTGCGCGTGATTGAAATACGGTGCCACAATTGATACATGCATTGCTGGGTGTACTCGTATGAAAGATATGATGTCCACCATGTCCAGATTGCTTGCTTTGGCACACATGTGTTACTAGGGCTGCGCGCGTGCGAAATAGTTTACCACAAACGTGTCCATCTGAACTGATTTGGATAGTGCACTTGGAAGACTATGCTGCGTTTCCCACGGCACATCACCGTCCTGGGCTCCTGGCACGACGGCCGCCAACGCCCCTGGTGGGCGCCACTCGGTCGCCGCAAAGGCGCTGCGCAAACACCGCGGGGTCGAAAATGACGAAGAAATGATTAACGCCCTCGTCCCACAGGAGTTCCGTGATCGACCCTCCCCATGTCGAGGCGAAGCTCTCGCCCTGGCGTGGTAAGGGTGCGGATGTGGTCTGGAGCCTCCTTCGCGGTGCCACCCATCATCGACCTCAGCTTCCTCGCCAACGATCCGCACATCTGCGTCAACTCAGGCTCCGTCCAGCAATATGCAATCGCGCCTGAAAGACCTGCCCCCACTGACCAGCCACATGAACATCAATAGCTTCTCGCGCAGCGGGGAGACCGAGTACCAAAAGCTCTGTACCATCATCCACCCTTGATTGATAGCCTGCAACCGAACCTGCATCTCGTTCGCGTTGCTATTCACCGCGTTGCACCATGATGATGATGCTGATGATGCTGATGATGATGATGATGATGAGGAGGAGGAGGAGGAAGAGGAGAAGGAGGAGTAGGAGGAGGAGGGGGAGAGGGAGGGGGAGGGAGGGGGATGGGGAGGAGGGCCAGGAGGAGGAGGAGGAGGAGGAGGAGGACGAGGAGGAGGAGGAGGAGGAGGAGGAGGGGGCGGGGGATGAGGAGGAGGAGGAGGAGGAGGAGGAGGAGAGGAGGAGGAAGAAGAAGAGGATAAGGAGGAGGAGGAGGAGAAGGAGGCAGGAGGAGGAGGAGGAGGAGGAGGAGGAGGAGGAGGAGGAGGAGGAGGAGGAGGAGGTGGGGGAGGGGGAATGTGAGGGGGAGGGGGATGGGGAGAGGAGGAGGAGGAGGAGGAGGAGGAGGAGGAGGAGGAGGCGGAGGAGGAGGAGGAGGAGAGGAGGAGGAGGAGGAGGGGAGGAGGAGGAGGAGGAGGAGGAGGAGGAGGAGGAGGAGGAGGAGGAGGAGGAGGAGGGAGGAGGAGGAGGAGGAGGAGGAGGAGGAGGAGGAGGAGGAGGAGGAGGAGGAGGGGGAAGAGGAGGAGGAGGAGGAGGAGGAGGAGGAGGAGGAGGAGGAGGAGGAGGAGGAGGATAACGGTGAGGAGGAGGAGAAGGAGGAGGAGGAGGAGAAGGGAGGAACGGGGTGGGGAGGAGGGGCGATCTCGAAATGACCCCAGTCGGCACCCCCAAATACCTCGCTCATGCTCCGCTGGCCCTCGGCCGCCCTTCCCCCCCCTGAGGAGCAGGGAGCTGACAAAAAACAAAAGCCGCGGCGCCGCAGCCCGCAGAGCGTGGCGGATCATTGTGCGAGGGGGAAGAAGAATCAGCGAGCGCATGCCTGCCCTTCGTGGTCTGGGCCGCGATGAACCGGGGGCGATAAAATGGGGGGGGGCAACGAAAGCTGCAGAAAGGGGGCTCCTTAGGGCCCGTGACAGAGGCCCCTTGGGACGCAGAAGGGGGCCTTCGGGTCCCGAAGAGTGTCCTTTTCTCCCCCCCGCCCCGTATTCAACGACGCCCAACTGGTCCAGTGTGTCTCTATGCCAGCATGCCGTGAACTACGATGTGCTCTGTGAAACCGAGCGGACGAAGATGTGCTATAGATCGGCTGGAGTTCGGCCTAGTCGGCGATACATACATAGAACCTCTCGCGCGCTTCGCGTGCGTTTAGGTTCTAGCAAATTCTGGTTGTAGTCTAAAGTAATCGGCGTCGGAGGACGTGAAGCGAATAATGTGGTCCTGTTCAAATCCCCCATGAGAGTCTTGGGGGCTTTTGGGCCGTCTGAAGGCCATCCTGGAACGTCTTGGGGACATCTGGGGGGCATCGCTGGCCGCCTAACGCTCCTCGCGGTCCGTTTTGAACTGTCCTATGACCTTGCTCCTTTTCGAACGACCCATGGGCCACCCTTAGCTCCCAGGAGGGCGTGCGCTGCCTTTCATAGCCCCAATATGGCTGGCAGATGACCCATGTAAGCCCCTGGTCGCCCCAACACGGTCTCAGAACGGCCCAACGTCCAAAAGGTTCAGCAGACGCCCCCCGAAGCCTCCAAGAGATCCTCGGGAGGTTTCCCAGAGGACCCCCAAGATACCCCGAGAAGGCTTCCAGACGTCATCCCAGATTCTCCGAATTGCTTTTACAAGGGCAAGGGAAGCAGACAATCCACACGCTTGTCCCAACCCTTCCCAACGGTTGGACACATAAAATGTAGGGGAAAGTGGTGACTCGTCGTAGGCATTTTCGACCCGTCGGCCCCTGTTGCTTGCAGGAAGGGGTGCGCGACCTGCCTAGTTTTACAACACGGTTATGTTAGCCCTTTCAGAAGATTCCTCGTGGCTCTCGACCCGTCCGCCGCCACCGCACACAGCACCCCAACAACAAGACGACTCACCTCCAAGCCAGCCAACGTGGCCAAAGATAGTCCTCAACGCGGGCCCAGACGGCCCAAGACGAACACAGCTGGCCTCCAAATTCGTCACGTCTGCCTCCAAAGCCCTAGGCTGCAAAAATGGCCTGGAGGGGGCCTCGAGCTTTCCCACTGATTGTTTTAACCGTTGGAATGGCTTCCTTTTTCTTACTTGTTCGGATTTCCAGCAGCCCAAGGAGGTCCAATAGCCTCAAAGCGGCCACAGAAACCCCTGATGGTCCCAAGACGGAACAAGCGACACAACATGGCCCCCCAAGAGGTCCAGAAAACCCCACCAGGAGGGCCCCAAGACGGACCTACAACTATCGAGATATCCCCTATGGCA